CTGCACCCTGAAATTACCACGTATTTACAGCTTTTGAAGGCAATACAGCCTTTCCCTCCTTTTCATCTGGTTATTCCACTTAAAGTTGTTCTAATGTGACAATTTAAAAAGATGTTCCTGTGGACCTTACTCACTTTCCCTGCAGGCAAACAGCAGATGTGCAGAATGTCTGTGGGGATTGAAATGATCATGGTACCACAACACGGGGTGGTGGTGGGTAATAATTCTCCCCAGAGACATTTTTGGATAGGGAAAATGGTATGGGCAAGAACCCATGTTATTTTTGTATTTTCCAGGTTGATTTTTGAGTAGTAGTTAGGCAAGGGGGGGGGGGGTCCATGCTTGTGAACAGCTGTGTGATTGTGCGTTCTTGTGTGTTTCTGTACAGTTGGAAATATATATTTGGCTTTGGTTATGATGTGATATGCCTGGCATATCACATCATAACCAAAGCCATTGCTCATGTTTACCAACATTATTATTATTATTTCCAAAAAATGCATTTATGCTTGAAAATTGGTGGGTGCAGGGGGGGGGGCGCCAGAAGGTAGCCTCGCCTAGTGTGCAAAAAATCCTGGAGCCGGCCCTGGCTTGGGACCAGGGTACCTGAGCTGCCTTATCTTACAGTGATTAGGGAGGAGTCTGCCTCCCAAGTCCAGATCTCTGTGCCAACACCTTCAGTGGTGAGGCAGGTGGTAACTAGAGACAGGGCATTTCCTGTGGTGGTACCTTGCCTTTGGAATCCCTCTCCCTTGAGGCTCACCTGGCACCTACTTTACAGTAGCTTAGGTGGTAAGTCAAAACATATCTTTTTAATTAGGCATTTTATTTTTCCAGCTGTTTTATAGTCTGCTTCTGCTCTAAAGTCTGTTTTACAGAAAGTTTTATTCTGTTTTTATGTCCCTGGGCATATTGTAATGGTTTGATTTTATACTGATAATTTACTGTTTTAATTGTAAGCCATATTAGCAGGACTCTGGAGAGGCAGCACCGAAATCTACTAAATAAATAAATAAATACCCTTTTGTGTACTTCCAGCGGTTTCTATTCCATAGAGATAAGAGTAAATTGATGAAGATGAAGGTAATTAAGCAACTTTAAACTTTGGTTCCTTACTGCATATCTGGCAAATGACACTGGGGCTGAGTCTAATCTCTTGTTAGAGGAAACCATAATTTGGCAAGATCTGTGAACTGAGCCAATGTCTTCTAGAAATCCTCCAAATACTTTTTAAAAATGCCTCAAGACTGATCCTGTATTAAAATACCCACCTGCAAGAAAAAAGGATTTTGTTTTGGTAAAATAAAAATCCATTCTGTATTCCACCCATACTTCTCACAAACTGTACTCCACATTAAAAGTAAGTGTGCGGGGGTGGGAAGAATAAAAAAATTTCCCATTGGATAACAGGAATCACTTGTATAGTTTGCTCAGCAATTATTCTTGAATCTGAACCTCATTGCTGTCATCATAATAAAAAAACTAAGTAGGCAAATTGTACATGTTCTTAGTATACTGTACTCGTAAGTGCCCTAAATGAAACACATGATTCAAATCTTGATTCACCTTATTAAAGTAAGCATTCCAGTATGCTAACATTTTAAAGTTCACCAACGTCCCCAAGATAATTTCACTTAAAACTAGTGTTAGAGAGAATATTAAAAAACCTGGTAGCAGTATAGAACCAAATTCAATGGATTCATTCAGAACACCCTCCAACTTCTAATCTTGAAAAGATAGCCAATGTTAGTACATATAGTAGTAATGATATTGTCAAAAGAAGTACAAAGTTTTAAGCCTTATGGTCAATTAATGGATAGTCAACTAAATAAATAAATAAATAAATAATATATCTGATAATTATGCTACCAACAAGCCATATGCTATAAACAGGAGTAGGAAAACCAAGATACATGGTCACCCAGATATCTAAAGATCGGATACTGACACTTGGGAAAGTATACATTTTCTAGACAAGCACTTAAACATTTTATTCTGGCTCTTAAATATGAGAAATGTTTTATGACTCTTGGTTATAAACATTTACATTTCTTTCTACTTGCTTTCTCCCTGCTTTTGCATTTGTATACATTTTCTTGCTTTTAAAAAGTCCTTTCCCCCTCCCTAACAAAAAGAGCCTTGGCTGACATAAAAATCCACAGGAGTAAAAAGGTAGCAAAACTAAGATGCTTACTACTTTTTAAAAATTGAGACAGAAGTAATACATAACTTTCTGTTTTTAGTAATCAACTTAAAATTACATAATAAATTCATCATCTATTCTTTATTTTTAAAAGTGAGCAAATAAGTTTTTTTAAAGAGATCTATATAATGATAATGATTAATGAATTGCTCTAGTAAAACAAATCCTGAGAAAATTAAAGTATAAGACCAGGACAAATTGAATGTCACAGTAGAAAAAGTTGTTAGTTGTTCTGATCTGAAATTTTAACATAAAGTGTAGTTGATACATAAAGTTCGTATTTAAAAAGTGATGCTTATTTTAAAAGGCACCCAGTGCCTTTTAACATACATTATATCATAGTGGTACTAAATATTCTGAAAACATATTGTAATTAACCAGCATGCTAATGAAAATTGTGAATACCACTTTGATTAGATAGTTGTCATAAAAATGAAAAAAACACCATTAAGAACCTTTTAAAAAAACTATTTGCAAAGAGACAATGTAGCAGCTTGACCAAATATTAAACCTGTTACTATGGAGAATCTTGGAAAAAATTCATGACCTGTTTTGACTGTCACTGGAAACAGTATTCCTTACTTCAGGCCTGCTTCTTTTCTTCCAGCAGAACACGTTTAATGATTAGTTCAAGTTTTAGGTCAATAGTATGTCAGTTCATTCTGCCTTGCTGTGCTTAGGTCTGTTGTATTAATAGAGGACTGTGTGCTGCAGACCTTTTATTTGACTAAAACGCCTGTGAAAAATGCTTCTCTCACCTGCATCAGAATGATACTTAACATTATGCCATTAATATCTAACATTAAACACATAAGGTCTTTTTGTATTAAGAGCTGGTTCTCTTCATCCAGAAATGCTCAATAATCCTCTTCTGTACAATCCTAAATTTCTATCACCTGCTGCATATGTTATACAGTTGACCCGTGTAGCTGACCTGTTATTATTACAAAGATTAAATTTCTTCACAGAATACCTTTATTAGTGAAAAATGGTTAATTTCTACTGCATATAACGGACTTGTCTATAGGGATGGGGAAAACACTCTTTTCCGTATAACCAAAAACATGCAATTTCCGTGCCTTTTACCTGGTCATTTTTTTTTCTTACAGAAAGAAGCAGTTTAAAGACATCTGAGAGGAATGATACCAACATAATCATGAAACTGCCCTATATATGGCAAAGTTCTGCACCAATGCAAGTAATACCATACAAGCTGCTTATATACTGGAGGAAAGAGATCCAAACATTGTATCAACAGTATCAATTCCTGTGACATTAAACACAAAATATATTACACATGCCCCTCCCTCAGTTATTCATGCTTGGAGGAAAGAAACAATTTCTAGTAACTATGATTAATACTAGGCAGAATGAGGGGGAGGGAGAGATTTGAGGATGATGATGGTAATAAGGAGAAAGTTACTATCCCCAATAGCTGGTGGGGGATCATATCCCTACCTCAGCAAGTTGGATAAAGGAATGGGTCCAGATCCACTGCCCAGAAGCCCTCCTTTCCTGCCAGCCAGGAGTTTCTCCACCAAAGCCACATTCCCAGTGCGAGCAGCTTCCAGCAGTTCCTGGTCCTTCCCCATGATCGGGAACCATCAGAGAACCCTCCTCCCCTCTCCTCCCCAACGCTGTATAGGTTATCCCCTCCTTCACACTAAAAATGACCCTCTCGGCAAAAATAATCTTTCCTCCTAGCTTCTCAAACTGAGCAATGAGGATGTTCTTGCAGCCTTCCCAGACCACAGGCAGAAGGAGCAACGGTAGCAGAGGGAGGGAGGGGGAATCACCTCCAGTTTTCACTAGATCATTTCTGGGTGGAGTGTGGAAGAAAAAGGATGGGGGGGGGGGAAGAGAAGATGGAATCTTCGCTTCCTTCAACCCAAATTCTAGAAGGGAAGGGAAGGCTCCGTTCCTGTGCCAGGCTGAGGCGGGTGAAGAGTGAGGAAGATATTAACGACCAGCAGGGCGCGAAAAGGGGAGGTGCAGCCTTGGCCACCCAAGGCCCGTTGCTGAGGAGACCAGAGTCCTCTGCTTCTGAGTGGCTGGCGAGGCAATGGTCCCCCTCCCCTAGTGGGCTCCCAGTCGCGTGCCCTTGCTATAGCTCGTGCTGCGCTAGGGATTCTGCTGCCCTCCCTCAGCTATCCATCCCGCCCGAATAAGCAACAGCAGCAAACGGCAGCTCGCCTCGCGCTTCACTGCGGTGGCGCGCGCGAGAGAGAGCACAGGCACGCGCTGGGCTGGTGGAGAACGGCTGCCTGAAAGTAGCCGGAGGCGCGCATAATGGGATGGGAAGGGGGGGGGAAGAAGGGGCGAGTACCCACCTCGCGTCATTCTGACATAGCGCTAGGGAAAGGGGTGGTGGGCTCAGTGAGGGAGCGTCAGTCTGTGGGAAAGGACAAGTCTGCTAGCCTGGCAGGAAAGATGAGACCCTGAGGAAGGGAAAGAAAGAAGGCCCAATTTGCCCTGGTACTGAATGGCGAGAAATGTGCCGGTCCCTTTCCCAGCCTCTCCTCAAATTCCCTACCGGCCAAATGGGGTGAGCGAGGGGGTGGGGGGCGGCGTGTTGCAAAACAGGGAAGGCGGGTGTTGTTCTCCAGTGTGAGGGGCCTTAGGAAGCACACAATTTAATCATTCATATACCATAAGCTGAGGAGCCGGTGAAGAACGGGAGTGAGCCAGTTTAGAAATCCAACCACCCCTCCAAAATCTCCCCCTCCTTAGGTTTGAGCAGCCTAATTTCCTGACACTCAGAGGCTCCCAAATCTTATGTCCCTTCAGCAGGCTGGCTTTTGAGACGATTTTAAAAAATAATAATCTCCAGTGTGGTATTTTTCTGCATACCCGAGGAACCTTGCAAGTAGGCAAAGATCCCTACCCTGTTTGTGGGCAGCCCCATTCTGTGTCATGCACAGAGAGACAAACTAGTTTACTATTAGGTATTGTTAGTGGCTTATTAATGTAACTAGAAATAAGGCCCGTTGTGGAAATAAATACAACGGGAGCTAGAAAGAGGCTCTGGGAGAGTGCTCTGGCTTTGGGCAAACAGTGTCAGTCTGCTTTTAAAACATGAACCTGGGACCTGCACACCACCGAAATACAGCAGGTTCCATATGCAACTGACATTCCAACTGCCTGGGGGGGGGGGAGTTTGAGGTGTGGAATGGAGTGAAGTCCAATCAGCTTCCATATGCAAAAGACCAGGTTGTCGCAGCAGTTGTGGTGTGGGCGGGACCCGGGCTTTGCCTTCTGATTGGTGGCGATATATGCTGAGGAGCAGTGCCATCAGCCATACACTAAGGGAGTGCATTTTAGAATTAGAACTTTGGCACCCACTATTCAATTATATATAAGGAGAGATATTCTTTGTACTATTAAAGTGCATTCACACTTTTGAAGAGTCCTCACAATGCTTCTCCCTCCCTATCAAGTAAAGCACTGCAGAGCTGGTTCACATCCCAGAACAAAAATGATAGATCAGACTCTTTAAAGGGAAGTTATTATTGAACCTTTGGCCTCCTTATTTCAAGATAAGAATTGTTCTGTTGGCCCATAGTACAGAACTACAGAATTATATCACCATTACAACCAAAATTATCATTTCTCACACATAGATGCATAAGTGCTTTTAAAAGACCAGCCTTGGGATGCGGAAATGAACCATTTTTGCTGAAGGGCTAGGAGAACTTGTAATGCTACCCTACATTTAAGACAACCCCTTAAGAAGCACTTCTGGCATCATGTAAATAGAGTTCTACATTCATCTGATCTACACATTAAAGGGAAGGCATAGAGCCAGACAGTATGAAATTTGGGATGTAGTTGTTCCCCCTTACCCTTGCTGTTTGGTTCTGCCACAGAGAGAATCTGAAGCAGAAAGTTCAGTCATTGAAGCAATGTCCAGCAGGGTAGCTTTATCTGTTTGCTGACAGAAAGGAATCTTGAGGCACCTTAAAAACAAACATGAATCTAGTCTGCAAAAGTTTGTGCTACAATAAATATGTTGGTTTTTAATATACCACAAGACTCTTGTTTCTTACTGTTGTAATGGTAGATGCCAGCCTAGTACTAAAATTACATCAAGATCCTGTAGTAGTAGGAAACAAAATTATTCTAAAAGCATAAGATGTATTGAAACATCTTCTGACTAGTTTACAAAATTATTCTTTTCTTCATGTATCAAAAAATTAGATTTCCACAATTTATGTCTCTAAACTGCATGTGCATGTCATTTTAATACCGCTTATGTAACTGTTAGTACACTATAGTTAAGAAAACAATGCATTTTAGGAAGGGGAAACCATCAAGCCAAACCATTACTGGCCTCCCACATTACAGAGTCATGGTTCTTAGTATTTCTGTTAACTGATATGTTAAACCATTAGTGATATTTATGGAATTCCTGGTATATGAGGGGGGAAGTTACAAACTAGGAAAATATGATCAGGCTGTACGTTACAGAACTTTTTCTGGTACAAAAAATTGGCTGGAAATGATCATAAAAGTATTTTTATCCAAGCCAACTGATAAAACTGATTTATGTTGCCACTTATATTTTGACTGGTAGGCAACTTACAGAAGAATCCTATACCTTTCTATGTCCATTGGAGTCAGCTGGCTCATAGGAGGTAAGTCATAGAATCATAGAAAGAGTTGGAAGGGACCTTGCAGGTCATCTAGTCCAACCCCCTGCACTCTGCAGGAGTATACTGAAAGATAGCCCTACATACCTACAACATACCCGAAAGATGGTCGTCCAGCCTCCGCTTGAAAACGTCCAGTGAAGGAGCATCCACCACCTCCCGAGGCAGACTGTTCCACTGCTCAACCACTCTTACAATTAGGAAGTTTCTCCTGATATTTAGCCGGTAACGACTCCCTTGTAATTTCCACCCATTAGAACTTGCAATCCAGAGCAAGAGAGAATAGATCTGCTCCATCTTCGACATGACAGCCCTTCAAATACTTGAACATTGCAATCATGTCCCCTCTAAGTCAGAGGGTTAGTCATGAGTCTTTCAAGTGTAGATTTACTACTCCTTTTTCTCCCCCCATAATGAATCTACGAACATGAAATTAAGCAAACTTCGGAAGATAGCGGAAGACAGGAGGGCCTGGCATGATGTGGTCCATGGGGTCATGAAGAGTCGGGCTCGACTGTGCAACTGAACAACAACAATCTACACTCGAAAGGCTCATGGTAGAATTAACCCTCTGCCTTAAATACCCCACCCCTGCTTGTAACCTTCCCCATAAAAAGTATTTATTTTGATTTCCATACATATCTGAATAAGTGAGAGGTGATTTACAAAAGTTAATGCGTTAATCTTTAAGGTGCCCACTGGACTTTTGTTTTATCTGTTCTTTCAGCCTTCTTTCTCCTATTTAGTTTTCAAGATTAACTGCCATCTCCAGTGTTCAAGAATCCAAAAATCTTCTTGTAAAGTGTAACTATTTTATAATACAACAAAGTCTGAGTTCAGTAGCACCTTTAACACCACCAAAATTTAATTCTGGGTATAAGCATTTGTGTGTATGCACACGTCATCAGATACATGAAACAGTTTTCCTCAAGCCTTACATATAGGTGGGGGGACCAGTTACCAGGAAGGTCCAGCAGGGCAATAAATATAGCTGGGTAACTGGGCAATAAATATAGCTGAGATTGAAGCTGTTGATAGGACCTATAAATGGCAACAAATTAGCATACAGATAGTAAGAGTGAGAACTAAGTATGAGTCCAGTCACCCTTTTGGCTCCTCTTTTTACCCAAGTGAATAAAACAGGAATTATACCAGCTTCGTGGAAACATGCAATAATAGTGCTAATATATAAAAAAGGTATTAGAAGTGAGTGTGACCCAGCAAATGATCAACCTATCAGTTTGCTCTCATCCTTAGGTAAAATATATGCAGCTTTCCTCCATTCTAAACTACAGTCTTGGCTGGAAGTCAATGAGGTCCTTTATCCTGAGCAAGCTGGTATTAGAAAAGGTGCCTCTACTTTGGATCATTGTGTTGTTCTTTACCACTTAGCTGAGAAATATTCTGTGCAGATACGTTATGGCTCAGAAGGCCAGCTAACAAATTCTATCAACCTTGCCAAAGGGGTAAAACAAGGCTGCATATTGGCCCCTGCTCTTTTTAACTTTTATCTCAATGATATGGTGCCTTACATTAAAAAAACGCCCATCACGGACCTATTTTGGCAGGCCAAGAAGTTCCTGTATTATTTGTATGCAGATGATGCAGCCTTGTTATACAGATCTGAAGCTGGCCTTCAGAAAACAATTAATGCTTTCTCTGAGTATTGCAGTCAAGAGGGGCTCATGGTAAATTACAAAAAATCAAAAATCATAGTTTTTACTAAGAAGTTACACCATAAATGTAAAGTATGGAAAACTAAAGATGGAAAAATAGAATTGACAACTCATTTTAAATATTTGGGAGTGGTCTTCTCCAAGAATTTATCATGGAAGCATCATCTTAATTTAACCCAAAATACTGTTAGACCAAATCTCAATGCACTTTTGAGATACTATTACTCAACAGGTGGCCAATATATCCCTATGGCTATGAAAGCATTT